AATAGGAAGAATGCCAGGATCCATCTGTTTCTAATGTTCTCTCTCTGACTATTTTGTTTTTTCTTTTCAATTGCGAAATATTTCAATATATAGAAAACTATTTAATATAAGGAAATTATGACAGAAGTAAATACTGTCATAGCTGCCACAGATCTCTCTTTTTAAAAAGAAAAGAGACCAGGTGCAGTGGCTTATGCCTGTAATCCCAGCACTCCGGGAGGCCGAGGTGGGCAGATCACAAGGTCAGGAGATCAAGATCATCCTGGCCAATATGATGAAACCCCATCTCTACTAAAATACTAAGATTAGCCAGGTGTGGTGGTGGGCACCTATAGTCCCAGGTATTCGGGAGGCTGAGGCAGGGGAATCACTTGAACCCAGGAGGTGGAGGTTGCAGTGAGCCGAGATCGTGCCACTGCACCTCAGCCTGGTGACAGAGCAAGACTCCATCTCAAAAAAAAAAAAAGAAAAAAAAACTTTAGACAAGAGTTTGTTTGAGCAAAGAAAATGCACATACAGGCGAAACTGTATAAAGGCTTTTAAAAGTTAGGAAGTAGCTACCCTCAGGGCTGGAGAGACACATGGCGGGGCATGTCGGCAACGTTCTGTTTCTTGATCTGCGTGCTGGTCACGTGAATATGTTCAGTCTATGAAGATTCACCAAGCTCTACATTTACGCGTGTGTTTCTAATATGTATATTAAATGTCAATAAAATGCTGGGACTTTTTAAATTTTCCTGCTTATTTGTAATTTCCAAGAAAGAAATACAGTCTTCCTTACCCCCTGCACACACACACACACACACACACGTGCGCGCACACACACATGCACACACACATGCACACACGCACACACACATGCATACACACACGCACACACACACATGCACACACATGCACACACACACATGCACACACACATGTACACACACGCGCGCGCACACACATGCACATACGCACATGCACACACACATGCACACACACACACACACATGCACACACGCACACACACATGCATACACACACGCACACACACACATGCACACACATATGTACACATGTGCGCACACCCATGCACACACACACATGCACACACACATGCACACATGCACACACACATGCACACACACACACGCGCACACACACGTACACACACTGCTGTTAGTCCTACTCCTGATTGGACCAGTACTGTTTACCACACAAATTAAGACCTGATTGTGATTAGGCTTCCAGTTTGGGACAATTCCAGTACTTGAACTGGGTTTCTGTCTCTCCAGTTCTAATCCCACGGAGTTTCCTTATGTAATGAAAATATTTCACATTTGGGATAAATTCTTCGTATCCTTAAAGATAACAATAGTTACCTTCCTATGGCCCGGGATCTACGCTAGGCTAACCCTATTCGATATGGTGTGTCCTCCCAGTGGTCCCGCCCGTTTTACAGACAAGGAAGCTAAGGCTCAGAGAGGTGAGAAACACCCCCAAAAGTGTGCTCTTTCTGATATTTCCTGTCACACCTCCAAGTGGTTCTTTCTGCAAAAGGCTTCATTCTCTTTAGCAGTTCTCTATGCTTTTCATCTCCAACTAGAAAGCGAAGGCCAGATGGTCTTCGGCCATATCCATCCAAACTACCTGATTACGAGGGTTACCGGAAGTGAGGGCAAGGATGTTTGTGCTGAAAATCCCGGGTTTGGATCCCTCGTGCTCAGCCCCAAACCGCAGAGGAAACCTCTAATAGTCAGGCAAGCCAGGAGAGCTTTGGCAAGAGCCCTGAAATCAGACCCGGCCAGCATGTGTTCCTGAATATCAGAATAGACACTATATTTACCCTGACAGCCTTTTAGTGCAACTGAAAGCTATAAATAACCATTAGGGCCCAAGCAAGTGGCCTTAACACATGGATTTTCTTCCAAAAATGCAGACCCATTTTAATTAAGTTTGTCATTAACCTTTGGGGAGGGCAGGGCCCCTGGATTCGGTTTGCTTTCGGAGACACTGTGAGTAAATTTCCTATTTGTTGAACATTTGGGGATTAGCACGCCCACTGGGTGTTCAGCTCGGAGGCTTGCACAGAGCCGAGCTCCCTGCAGCCTTGGGCCTCCCCCTGCCCTGGGTGCCCTGATCAGCGTCTCTTTGCAAAGCCAATCCCCTCTTACTCCGTTGTCCCCCAGAACAAGATGGGAGTCATGGCTATGCTGCTGCTGCCCCTGCTGCTGCTGGGAATCAGTGGCCTCCTCTTCATCTATCAAGAGGTGTCCAGGCTGTGGTCAAAGTCAGCTGTGCAGAACAAAGTGGTGGTGATCACCGATGCCATCTCAGGACTGGGCAAGGGTAAGCTGGCTTTGCTCCCACCTGTGCCCATTTCGGCCCCCAGGGACTGGCAGGGTGGCAGGGTGGTGTGTGGGCAAGCCTGCTAGGTGGGAGGGGATCCCTTCTGTGTTCTCTCCCAGCTTCTGTCATTAACCAGCAAGTTTCCCATCTTTTGGAGGCTGCAGATTCCTGAAAAACAAGAGCGGTGGAATATCTAGGATTGCAAACTCACAGCCTAAGGGCTAAAATGGGTCTGCAGATGTGATTTGTTTTGGCTTCATGAGGTTTCCAGAAATTTTGAAAACGCAAAGCCTTGAGCTAGGGCAGCGTACTGGTTGTGAGCCCAGACTCAGGAGCTGGGTTCAGTTCCCGCCTCCAGTAATGACTAGCTGGTTACTTCACTTCTCTGCCTTAAACTTCTCCTCTATAAAGCAAGGGTACCAGGAGGCTCTACCTAACGATGCCACTGTGAGGAATAAATGAGTTCATAGATGTATAGCACTTAGAGCAGTACCTGGAGCTGCAGTGGATATCACTCAAGGGTTAGTAATGATGATCATGAACACATATAGGCAAAACGTGCCCACACTATTGGGCCACATACCCCACCCATCCCTATTGTATCACATTTGGCCTGATTCTTTCAATCATTGCACTTTCTGGCATTGAAGGCATTTGCATTTGCAACTCCTGAATTATATAGCCTCAGAGGGACCCTTCTGCTGGTGACATCTATGACATGAGAGGCCGTAATTGTCCTTAAGTTTACAAAATTCTGATTCTGTCCTTCCAGACAATGGTAGTACAACTTTGTATGTGATATAGTTAGCACAACTTTTGCTGTAGTTTTTATTATTTTTCATAGAGCACAGATCCCACACAGTCCAACATTCATTAGTAACTCAGTAAGTGTCCATTGAGTCCACTATGTCCCGAGCATTGCCCCCTGAGAGTCCCTCTGGGGGGCTGGGCACTTACCCGCATGGTGCCGCCATCGTGGGAACCTTCGTAACCTCCCTGAGAATTTTCTCAGAGCCTGCTACTCATCCTCTTCGGCATCCAGTGGGAGCCAATCCGCACGCTTTGAGGATGGCTTAGATTTCAGTGGGTGATCAACCCGGGTCCATCTTGTAAGATAAAAAACAAAGCATAAGGCAGATAAACTAAGCTCTCTCTCCAAGTGGCCCCATACACAATTCCCAGAGAGGATATCCTGCATCAAAGGGGAGCGAGGTACACAAACTCAAACTCCTTCTTCTTCAGGGGCAAGCCAGGGCACACACATCTGTCTATCAGACCAGACACAAGACAACAGGGAGTGTGCTGCCCTGGAGAGCTGGAAAAGAGATGCCCACCTAAAGCCATTCAGAACAGAAGGTTTTAGGGAAAATTTGCTCTCCAAATGGTGCATCTTTGTCTGGCATTGCACCAAGCTGCTAATACGTGATTCCCTGATACAGCCTCTACCTGGAGCCTTTCCTGACACCTTTAATTGCTCCTTCCTCTTGAATGATCCTTGTGGGACCAGTTTCTTAACTGGCCCCTTGCAAGTGCATACCGCATTAGTGTATTTCTCATGCTGTATCTATGTGTTTCTCAGTGAGTCCACTAGATACAGGCTTCCCGGTGCTGGAGCCTGTGTTTTGTTCATCCAGCAGCCTCAGCACCTAGCTCAATGCTTGGTTGGCATACTCAGAAAAAGTGTATTTAATGAATAACCTCTAAAAGTGACAGGTGATCAGGGAAGGCCCTCGTTTGGATAAGTGTGTTCTTGCAAATTTGTTTTATTGTTTTCCGGTTTGATCCCAACATGGTTGGAGAACACACTCTGTATGATTTCAATTCTTTGAAATTTGCTGAGGTTTGTCTTATGATCTATCTCGGTATGGGTTCCACGAGTGCTTGGAAACAATGTGCGTTCTGCCATTGTCCTATACATGTGGATTCGATCCTGTTGGTCGGCGAGGCTGCTCAGTTCTTCTGTAGCCTTGCTAGTTTTGTGTCTTATTAGGTAGAAACACAGTTTTATTGATCGTTGAGAGATGTGTATTTGTTTTAATCATCTCATTCACTTTTAAAACACCTCATTCAGTTGTAGTCACACATGACACAAACCAGGTACCCAGGAAATACATCTTATGAGGGAAACAGCCTTTGCAGAACTTCAGGGCCTAGCTTGTCGTGTCTACTGTCACTGTTCTTTTTTTTTTACTATATCTCATTGACCCACCCTGGAAAGAAATGCAAAGAAGAAAAAAATACATTTCCAGTACTTAGCAGTAACTTGAGATGCTGGACGTGTGTGACCTTAAATAAACGCCTAGTTCCCCACGCTGCTGACGACAGTGATTCCAGGCTCCAACTGCTGCGTGTCTCAAGTCCAGGGCGCGGAGAGGATGATGCAGGCTTTGCACAGCCACTGCACACCCTGCTGCCATGGAATCTGCACGAACCCCATGGGTGGCACCGGGAGCAGCAGGGAGTGCCACGCCAAGTTGTTTACTAGGGAAATCAAACAGACAAAGGTCAGGGCATCTAGTCCTCGCTCCAAACCTCCAGGATTCGGCCAAGCCAGGAATCCTGTCACCTTGTACCCACTGTGTCTGCAACAAGAGTGTTGATCAAGGCCAGGCTCAGTGGCTCACACTTGTAATCCCAGCACTTTGGGAGGCCAAGGCAGGTGGATCACTTGAGGTCAGGCGTTCGAGACCAGCCTGGCCAACATGGTGAAACCCCGTCTCTACTGAAAATACAAAAATTAGCTGGGCATGGTGGCTGTCACCTGTAATCCCAGCTACTTGGAAGGCTGAGGCAGGAGGATTGCTTGAACTCAAAAGACGGAGATTGCAGTGAGCTGAGACCATGCCACTGCACTCTAGCCTGGGTGGCAGAGTGAGACTCCATCTCAAAAATAAATTTATTTATTTTAATTAACTAATTTAATTAATAATTGATTTAATTAATTTAATTAATAATCAATTTATTTTTAATTAATTTGAAAAAAGAATGACTTTCAGAATACCCAACCCCTGCACCTGAGCTGCTTCAGAGGGTACAGCTGAACGTCAGCCCTGCCTTTGTGCTGTCACCTCAAAGGTGCAGTTTCTCTCAACATTTCTGAAATCAGACTGATTGTCTTTCAATCCATAGCATCTTACAATCCCCATAGGCCACCCTTTAAAATGTCTCTGTGGCTCATGCCTGTAATCCCAGCACTTTGGGGAGGCTGAGGTAGCTGAATCACTTGAACTCAGGAGTTCGAGACCAGCCTGGGCAACATAGTAAGACCCCCCCCATATCTACAGAAAACGTAAAACTTAGCCGGGTGTAGTGACATGTGCCTGCATTCTCAGCTACTCAGGAGGCTGAGGTGGGAGGATCGTTGGAACCCAGGAGGTGGAGGTTGCAGTGAGCTGAAATCACACCACAGCACTCCAGTCTGGGCGACAGAGTGAGACCCTGTCCCCAAAAAAATTAAAATTAAAATTAAAATTAAAAGTCATGTATTATCTCTGAAATCAGGCAACAGCTCATCATCGATGGCATCTTAGATTGATGAAATACAGAAAGAAGGGCTCAATTTATGTTTATTGAATGAAAAAGAAAAAGCCGTGTACCAAAGTGCTAGATACATGCTGAGCTGATAAAAGAATAGAAATAAGGACACTCAGGTATACCAAAGACCTGGTTTCAGCAGAAATGACTTCTTTGGGGGCAGTGCCTCTAGGCTTGGCTGCAGCAGTACTGAGCACGCCGCTGGGCTCCCGCCTCCCAGGCACACCTGGGCAACGCAAGGTGTTAGCGGAGAAGGGAAATGGCGTGATGGGGAAGAATGCTCCCGGCTGTCTGTTCTAACAAGGCCAACGCCAGAGATTTGATCTAGCTCCTGCTCGCAGGCCCCTCACCTACTCCAGTGCCCTGCTGCAAATAATGCTCTGGGGTCAGGTGTGGTGGCTCAGGCCTGTAATCCCAGCGCTTTGGGAGACCGAAGCGGGCAGATGACCTAAGGTCGGAGTTCGAGACCACCCTGGCCAACATGGGGAAACCCTGTCTCTACTAAAAATACAAAAATTAGCCAGACGTAGGGGCAGGCACCTGCAATCCCAGCTACTCGGGAGGCTGAGGCGGGAGAATCCCTTGGACCTGGGAGGCAGAGGTTGCAGTGAGCCGAGATTGCGCCACTGTACTCCAGCCTGGGCAACAAGAATGAAACCCCGTCTCAAAAAACAAACAAACAAAAAAATAGATGTTCATCATCATGACAGGGAGGGAGCGAGGAGTGAAAATGCACCCTCACCCTCAACGTGCCCCTTTCTCAGCAGTGGGCATTTGCCAAGAGGAGCCTAGTGTGGAAAATGCGTTACTCACCACCTGGATGTCAGACTCCTGTGGGGGTCACATCCTGGCTTCCCTGCTGGCCAGACTCCAGGTGATTCATTTCAACCCATTGAACTTCACTCCTCTCATTTGTAAAATCCAACCTTCATTCTGCTCCAGAACGACAGCTGAAATGGAGAAAGGCTAGAATTTCTGTTGCCCACAGAAGTTTCTTTTAGTGAATTCTGTTTTAAAAGCCATATGTATTTAAAAGAATTTTTTTAAGTAAAAAGAACACAAGATACACCTAGAACCCCACATGCTTGGGGACACCCTGTGTGAATGCATCCTTCCTTTCCTTTCAGGGGGATGCGTATGTGAGTAACCCGTCATGAGCAAGCATAAATCAAGGGTGTCGTGAGACAGTCCACCTGAAATTTATTCAGAGGGAAGAGTCCTTCCTCTGCAGCTTGAGGAAAAAAAAAATCAGGTTGTTCCTGACTTTTCTGATTACTCTTTTTTTTTTTTTTTTTTTTTTTTTTTGAGACGGAGTTTTGCTATTGCTCTTGTTGCCCAGGCTGGAGTGCAATGGCGCGATCTCGGCTCACTGCAACCTCTGCCTCCCGGGTTCCAGCGATTCTCCTGCCTCAGCCTCCCGAGTAGCTGGGATTACAGGCACATACTACCACGCCTGGCTAATATTTTTTTGTATTTTTAGTAAAAAGGGGTTTCACCATGTTAGCCAGGCTGGTCTCAAACTCCTGACCTCAGGTAATCCACCCGCCTTGGCCTCCCAAAGTGCTGGGATTACAGGTGTGAGCCACCACACCCAGCCTCCGATTACCACTAGATTTTGCAAAATCCTTTGGTCATGGTGGGTCCCGAAAGAGAGCATTGATTCGGGAATTGGGATGCCCAGTTTAACACCTGATAACATGGCCATTTTCATTGAATTCGAACTTTCTTTCCTCCTCTCTGCTCCTCCCCACAGCTAGTGCAAGTTGGAGGGAAGCTTCTTGCTGTTTCTTAGGCTTCTAGGGCCTCAGGGACTGGAAGGAGGCAAGACAGGAGAGCAAAAAAAACCCTCACCCGACTGACAGCGCTATAAGATGGCTTCAAGGTCCATCGGCCTGGTCCCTGTTTAAAACTGGGTCTGAATCTTTCTCTTGCGGGCACTTTTATGCGCCTTTCAGAGGCCTCCCTAGGATTATTCATTTCTGTGAAATGGGAGATGTGGGTTTTTTCTCCACTCGCTTAATCCTTCCTCACCCGCTGGTTCCCGGGCAGTCTACTCCCCACCAACCCTGTCCTCTGGAGTTCCACTGACCTTCCGAGAGGTCCTCTTGGGCTGACTTCAGATGAGCTCTCAACCAACTCATGACCTACCCTGGCCATTGATGGCTGTGACTTCCTTGGCTCTGCAGGCCGCCCCCGATGGAGAGGTCCTGGCTTTCCTTTCCTCTGCCGTCAGGGCATTGGCTGGGCCCAGGATCTTGCCCATAAGACAGGAAGCTGGACTCCTGGCAGCAGGGAACCGTCCCATGTTTTAGTCTGCATTTAAGTATTACTGATATTCACTCATCTTCTGTATCTTGATACATTTTTTGTGAATTGCTTACTCATCTCCTTAACCAATTTCTTTATTAGCATCTTTATCTTTTTTCTAATTGATTTGTAAGAGTTTTTTCATATATCAAATTAACTCTTTTCTGACATATATATTATAAATACCTTTTCTAAATTTGTCTTGTCCTTTATTTGTGGGTGTTTTTCTTCCTTTTTTTTTTTCTGTAAGAAGGTTTTTGTTTTGTTTTGTTTTTCTGTTTTTCTGGGGTTTTTTTTTTTTGTTGTTTTTTGTTTTTTTGTCTCTACTGGCTGGAGTGCAGTGGTGCAATCTCAGCTCACTGCAAGCTCCACCTCCCGGGTTCACGCCACTCTCCTGTCTCAGCCTCCCAAGTAGCTGGGACGACAGGCACCCGCCACCATGCCTGGCTAATTTTTTGTATTTTTAGTAGAGACAGGGTCTCACCATGTTAGCCAGGATGGTCTCGATCTCTTGACCTCGTGATCCACCTGCCTCGGCCTCCCAAAGTGCTGGGATTAGAGGCGTGAGCCACCATGCCCAGTTAAGAAGGTTTTTTTAAAAGGGTACAATCCATAAATCATTTCTGTTAGGATTTTTTTTCCTTCAATGGATGCTCAGGAGCCCTCCCCAATGAAAGGTATATATTCGTCTCTACCTTCTTCTAGTTCTGTTTTGGTTCTGTTTTTATATTTCACTATTTAGTATATTTTGGTATAATACATCCAGCTTTTTTTCCCTCCCAAATAGGGCTTCAAATAACCCCCCCTCTTTTTTATAAACAGAGTCTCACTCTGTTGCCCAGGCTGGAGTGCAGCGGCGTGATCTCAGTTCACTGCAGCCTCCATCTGCTGAGTTCAAGAGATTCTCTTGCCTCAGCTACCCAAGTAGCTGGGATTAAATTTTTGAATTTTTAGTAGAGACAAGGTTTCGCCATGTTGGCCAGGCTGGTCTCAAACTCCTGACCTCAAGTGATCTGCCCACCTCTGCCTCCCAAAGTGCTGGGATTACAGGCATGAGCCACCGCACCCGGCCCCCACTCTTTATGTAATACGTCCTTTTCCCATTGATTCAACATGTTAACTTTATCGTACACTAAATACTCCTCAATACCTGACTCTATTTATTATCAATATTTCTATCTAGACTTGAACGGCTGACTCTTTAATTTCTGTAGTTTTACAATATATTTTAACAACTGTTTTTCGAAATGTTCTTTGCTTTCCTTCATAGAGTATTCCAATTAAGGTGTGCAAAATATGCCATATAATGTGTAGACTTTTTCTGACATTTCCCAAGACCTGTTGGGATCCTGATTTACTGAATCAATTTAACTTGGAGACAGATTGACATCTTTATTGGATTTTGTCATCCAGACTCATCATGAGCTGTATAAATAAAACACCTGCATTGAGAGGAATCTTCCCTTCTCTGCAGCCCTAACAATTCAAGGTGACATTGTTAACCCAGTTATTTCTGGATTCGGGTTTCCCTCTGTCAGCAGACTGAGCTCTCCCAGCGCCGTCCTCCCAGCTCTCTCAGGGATTCCCAGCACACCTGTTTTCAGGCCTCATGGAGACCTCTTATCCCCACAACTCTCTGCTTGGGTCCTCTCTTGGCCTTTTCTGCCTCTTCACTCCTGCTCCCACCTGATTTAGACTTCATAGTCCAGCACCTCAATTCCTCCATCTCTCTAATACCACAACTTCCCTGCCCATCATGCCCCTTACCAAGCCCCGACCAACAGTCCTGTCTAGCCGGTCCCTTCTCTCCACCTGCAGCAGGCTCTGGGCCCTGCTGGAGAAAATCACGCAGCCCTGAGTTCACTTGGAGCCACAGCACTTGGGATACCCAGCCTCCACTGGGCACGAGGCTGCCAGGCTGTCCTTCCATGTTCCCAGCCAGTCTGAGTCCATCACTTCATGGTGTAAATGAGACAATAATAGGTTCTTTCCTGGAGTCGGTGCTGTTGGTGCCTCTTCCAGATCCCCGTACTTGGTCAGCTCATCCATTTCCCAGGCACTGTAAACGCTGGCTGCAAATGGCGTGCAGATTGCAAATGGCGTGCAGATTGCAAATGGCGTGCAGATACCTCCTTTCCCAAAGACTTGTCTTCTGCCAGTGGACGCTGCCCTGCCTAGGAGTTACACAGCTTATGCACGTACCCCCAGAGAGGGCAGCCCATATCAGTGACTGACACTGGTGTACAAAGGCTGATCCTCTTGCCTCCAGCTGTGCAATAGAGTTTAGATTCCAGAGTCTTCCTTGGATCAAGCCAAAGCTAGACTTTCTTGAGACCATATCCTCTCCTGGCCCCTACTCCATGACCTCACTCCCCTGTCTCTGAAGAGCAGGCCCTCAGTAAATCCTGGCCACCTGAATCCTTGACTCAGAGTCTGCTTCCTGAGAACCCAACCTAAAGATACTATCTCATAAGGTTATTGTGAGTATTAAATGAACTACAGAGATATGCAAGAGATATGTACGTATCTTTCAACAGTTCCTACAGCAAGGAAACTCTCCAAATCTGTGAGCTTCTATTGCTTTTAAGTATCGTTAGTATTGCTACACAAGAATTCTGTTTGTCTACCAGCTAACACTCAGTTGAGGAAGTGCTACATTGGGTGAGTAGGGAATCAGTCCAGAGGAAAATTAATTAGACAGAAAGTAGGTTTACTTTTAAATACAAAGAATCCTGGTATTATCCCCAGAGAAAATGTGGAGGAAACTGGTGATGTTTGATTTGAAAAAACATGGTGATGTGTCTCCATTATCTTCAGATTGAGATATCTCTAGGGCTGCGGTCCTGGGGGGCCAGGTCGGCAGGTTCATCTTTCTGTTCAGTGTAAGGAAGAATTTCCAATTATCAGAACTTTCTAACAAAGGAGGCGTGGTCTCACTCCACCATGAGCTCCCTTTCACGGAAGCAACTAAGTGGAGGCTGGAAATGACAAAAATTCCAGCCCGGGGAGGGAGTTGAATGAAGTGACCCCTAAAGGACCTCGTGGTGCTAAGACTTCTGAGTTTTTTGAATTCATGGGTTCCCAAGAGAGGGGGTTCACTGTCAGCGGTTCCATCCACACAGTGTGTCCTGCCCTGTGTCCTTCTTCCCCACAGAGTGTGCTCGGGTGTTCCACACGGGTGGGGCAAGGCTGGTGCTATGTGGAAAGAACTGGGAGGGGCTGGAGAACCTATATGACGCCTTGATCAGCGTGGCTGACCCCGGCAAGGTAAGGTCTTCCAGCAGTCGGCGTGGGTAACTCCTGGGCACTCCCAGCCTCCACTGATCATTCAGGACCAGCTCTTGGACCAAGTGGAGGAAACTTGGTGATTGCTTTGGGGAATGTGAGGTAATGAACCCAATGACCTTGGCATAGGGTCATGTTTGTCATTCATAAGGGGTTGACTTATTTTGACTACCCACCACGAAAAATCGTGTTCTGTAGCCACAGCCCCTTGCCCTGACCCTATATAACGCAAACTCGAGAAGGATCCAGAAGACAGAGGATGTTGCAGGTATGGGCTGTGATCACAAACACAGCCATTTTTTTTTTAATACCTTAACTGACATCTCCATCAAAGAAACCAGATAAATGAGATCCCTTCCCAAGAAGTCTCCCAGAAAGTGAACACTTCTTTCAATGAGGCCGCAGTTTCCAGAGGTTTTTCTGGAGCATTGGTCAGGGAGCTCCCTTCAGGATACTTTTTTCGAATCTTTACCTTTGAGGTTGCATTTGGTGGTTAGGAACAGCTCAAAGTAATTCAGGGGTAAGTCTGATATTTGAGGAGATGAATCAAACAGGACAACACAGAATGCCCCAAAGTGTGTTTCTAGGGATGTGATGAGGCACTGGGTAAAAGCGAGGGTTTGCGGTCAGTTGTGTGAGAAACACTGAGTTAAGCTAAGCTTGTCCAGTTTCTTCACTGCAGGACTTTTCAGAGCCTTTAATATGCCAATGTGCACTGTGTATCTCCAAGAAGAACTTGGAGAACAGTCTGTGTTTCCCAAGCAATTTTGACCACGGAACCCTCTCTTCAAGGGCATATCTCAGGACTAGTCTTTGTCGAACACTGGGATTGCATTTACCACTCGGTGTCATCAATTTTCCCATCTGTCCACCCTCCTACACATCCCTGGATCAACAGAGTCAATGCAGCAAGTGTCTGGCTAAACACAATGCCTGGCACTTAGTAAGCAGATGTTTCAAAAATATTGTGTTGAGTGTATGATTTTAGTTTTCTAAAATGTGGCTATGAAGTCCTGTGATGGATTTATTTATTTATTTATTTTGCAACTTGCAAGCCAGGTTGAAAAGCAATTTCCACAAAGGAGCTCAGAACTGTTAAAAGTAATGATGCCACCCCGGAAGCAAGGCAAAACCGCAAAAAGAACGCCGCCAAAGGCGAAAATCAATTAACAAGTCCGGAAACCTGGCCAAAGAGTTAAAACTAATGCCGCAAAATCAACGCAAAAATTGGTGGTTTTGCCCCGGGCCCCAAAAAAGAAATACCCGGCAAAAACCCCCAACCCAAAAACAATTCCGCCTCGTCCGCCTTTTTTTTTTTTTTTTCAGTCATTTCATGATCTTTGAATTTCAAAATGGGTGGCTTTTAGATCGAGGGCTCCCAAGGTCTGCAAGAGGGAGGAGATCCCACATACCCTGACTCTGTCATTGGTTCAGCAGACATTCACCCCAAAGCTGGTCCTATTGGACCTCTCAGACATCAGCTGCGTCCCAGATGTGGCAAAAGAAGTCCTGGATTGCTATGGCTGTGTGGACATCCTCATCAACAATGCCAGCATGAAGGTGAAGGGGCCTGCCCATAAGATTTCTCTGGAGCTCGACAAAAAGATCATGGATGCCAATTACTTTGGCCCCATCACATTGACAAAAGGTCTTGTGAGTTTGACTTTCCCATGGGTATCTGGGCCACCAGATTCTACAGAGGGCTCTGTTAAATAGCCAGACAGTCATCCTATTCTATATGGAATTCTCCAGTCCCCTTAGAAAATTCTCTACCTATTGGGTGAAAGCTTTCAGCATTCCCATTTTCAATGTTTATGTAGGAAAAGGAACCCAGGAAGTATCTGATTGGCATATTTCAACCACCCTCTCTGTGAAACCCCTCTCCCCACCCAAGCTTTGCCCTTTTACTTCTCTTTCCTTATGTCCCTGGCTTCCCTCCAATTCGACGTCTCTGAACAATTGTCTCATCCTCCAACAATTGTCTCAACAACTGTGTGCATTCTGCTGTATCAACCTTGCAGTTGATCTGCTTCTAACCATGACAGTTGGTCAAAGGTAAAGATTCTGTCCTCAGAAATGAAGAAGAAAAAGGACTTATTACCAAATTACAAGAGACCCAGTATTCTGTCAATCCCTTCACAGAAACAGGGAAGGCAGGAGGTTGTCTCCCTTTAATGAATAAGATGGTGATTCCTATGTGAACCTGTCTGAGGGGCCTAGGAGACACCCAGGTGCAGATTTCTCACCACCAAGTTCAAACGCCAGTCTGAAGCCTGGAAAATGGGGCTGGAAATGACCACAGAGTAGAATGAAAAGTTGACAGATCATGAGGTCAGGAGTTCGAGACCAGCCTGGCCAACATGGTGAAACCCCGTCTCTACTAAAAATACAAAAATTAGCCAGGCATCGTGGTGGATGTCTGTAATCCCAGCTACTCAGGAGGCCAAGGCAGGAGGATCGTTTGAACCCAGGAGGCTGAGGTTGCAGTGAGCCGAGATCACGCCATTGCACTCCAGGGTGGGTGATGGGCTGAGACTCCGTCTAAAAGAAAGAAAAGTTGAAGCCCCTGCTCTCCAAAAAAATAAAAGTTTATCAAAGCAGAAGCTCAGGGGGAATGTAATGTGGAGAACACCTCCATTTAGGGAGTTGGGTGTCCTGGCAAGGTCTAAGATCTAGCATGATCTTGCAATTACCGTCTCTACAACCAGCTCCCACGCTGGACACCTCTAACAATAGGATTCCGAGTACTAAGACAGATGAAGAGAAAGAAGCATTTGGGGCAGAAAGATGACTTTCCAGAGCTGTCCCAGAGATAACAGTTTCCTCCAGTCCAGTCCCTGTGGATACAGCAAACATGCCAGCACAAGTGTGTCATCTATCAACCTTTAACAGAGACTGTTCACTGGCATCAAAGCAATGAACAAAGAAAGTGGAGTGGAAAAGGGCCAGAATTGGTTTCTCTTCCTGGTTAGCCCTCACTAAGGACCCTGGGTCTAGTCCCTAGCTCTGGACCTCAGTTAGTCCATCTTGTTTTTGGTTTTTTCTTTTCTTTTCTTTTCTTTTCTTTTTTTTCAAGACAGAGTCTCGTTCTGTGTCCCAGGCTGGAATGCAGTGGCATGATCTCAGCTCACTGCAAATTCCACCTCCCGGGTCCACCTCCCAGGTTCAAGTGACTCTCCTGCCTCAGCCTCCTGAGTAGCTGGGACTACAGGCACCCGCCACCACGCCTGGCTAATTTTTTGTATTCTTTTAGTAGAGACAGGGTTTCACCATGTTAGCCAGGATGGTCTCCATCTCCTGACCTCGTGATCCACCCGCCTCAGCCTCCCAAAGTGCTGGGATTACAGGCGTGAGCCACCGCGCCCGGCTCAGTTTGTCCATTTTTAACATGGAGATGCTGGGTTTCACAGATCATTCTGAAAGTTGACTCTGAGTATTGTCTTTTCACTTTTTGCCATATCCCCATTCCGCCTGTACTATTATTAATTTAATACCTTTCTCTGAATTTTCTCATTTTTAAACTAAATTCACTTTAGGAGGAAATGTGTATAAAACCAACACAAATTTAAAACCTCTCTCATTCTCAATAAATAAAGGGCAACCTGAAAATTAAACAAAGTAAGTTCTCCCAAGGTAGCCTGAGAACATCAGAATCTTCCCTCTCTTTGTTAAAAGATTAGCACGTGCAAGAGAGGTGTTTAAAGACGTACTAGAACCATTGTGAGACTTCCTTCTTCCTTCTGGAGGCCATAGTAGGAGAATTGAAATGGGAATGACTTTCTCACTACTGAGATCAGCATCTGTTCTATTCTATTGGGTACCACACGCACTACCTGAGTGCAATATGCCCATGGAACAAATCTGCACGTGTTTCCTCTGCATCTAAACAAAAGTCGAGAGGAAAACACAATAAATATAAACATGCCTTTAATAAAAAGAAATCAGTGTCACTAAATGCACATTGGTGGGAAAGCACCAATTTAAAATCACCCAGCAATTCACCAGCCCACACTTTGGGAACGCTGTATAAACGATTGCAGGGTTCATTCCATCTCCGCTGCCCTGCTGCAATCTAATTACCACGGAGGGAGCGGAGCCCCATGATGAAGGGGAGCCGGGGGAGGGGTCTGCCGGCGGCTGCCTAACTGAGTCGCAAAGTTTTAACCATGACTCTTTGTCCTGTGTTTTCCAGCCCTGCTTCCCAACATGATCTCCCGGAGAACAGGCCAAATCGTGTTAGTGAATAACATCCAAGGGAAGTTTGGAATCCCGTTCCGTACAGCTTGTAAGTTGCTAAGATAAAAATATGAATCTTCTGTTGTATGTCTTATGGTATAAGGCAGGAGCTGTTATGTCTAAGACTAGGCAGATGGTCACAGGGGAAAGGGTCCAAGGATGACACCATCTGCTGGGTTTTCTTTCATCCCTATGGTTCCTATTTTTTGAGCGCCTACAGCATGCAAGTGGCTATGGGAGATGCTGAGATATTAAAGATAAGCTCCCTCTGTCTGTGAAGCTCACAGTCCCCTATGTGGGCAGGACATGCACTAGGTGAACCTGACAATGCCAGGTGAAGGTCACGCTCCTGACAAAGATGCACAGTCATAGCTCCAATGCCCCTTCCTCCATAAAGATGCCCTTGAAGGTCAGGGAAGATTACCGTTGGGAAAGAGAAGGATGGGTGCACATCACAAAATGGGAGGGCAATGGAGACCTTCTGAGGAAGTAACCAGGAAAAACAGAAAGGGACAGAATTCAGGGTGGGGGCAGCTCCAAAAATGAGCGTCCTTTCAAAAGTTCAAGGAGAAGGACTTCTAGGTGTATGTTCCTGGGATCTAGCTGGAAAAATTCTGGAGCCATTTCCACATCTGATGAGCTAGTTCTAAGAGGCGGGGAACATACCATATACATTTCTTCATGGCCCACACTACCATGTGCAAATTAGGGGCTCAGTAAATGTTTGATGGGTACAAGGGTAGAAGGGAAGAAGGGAGGGAAAAAAACGAGTAGGTCCCCATATGAATTTGCTCAGGGTGCCATAACAAAATACCAAGGCTGGGGCTTACACAACAGAAATTTGTTTTTTCATTCTGGAGGCTGGAAGTCCATGATCAAAGTGTCGGCAGGGTTGGTTTTCTCTGGAACCCCTCTCCCTGGCTTACAGATAACTGCCTTCTTGCTGTGTCCCCACATAGTCTTTCCTCTGTGCATGTGCATGTCTGTTGCCTCCTTGTATGTCCAAATTTCCTCTTCTTCTTCTTCTTCTTTTTTTTTTTTTGAGACAGACTCTCACTCTGTTGCCCAGGCTGGAGTGCAATGGCAAGATCTTGGCTCACTGCAACCTCTGCCTCCCAGGTTCAAGCAATTCTTCTGCCTCAGCCTCCTGAGTAGCTGGGACTACAGGCACCCGCCACCACGCCCGGCTAATTTTTGTGTTTTTAGTAGAGACAGGGTTTTACCATATTGGCCAAGTTGGTCTCAAACTCCTGACCTCAGGTGATTGGTCTGCCTTGGCCTCCCAAAGTGCTGGGATTACAGGCGTAAGCCACCACACCCGGCCCCAAATTTCTTCTTCTTATAACAGCACCAGTCAGATTGGAGTAGGGCCCAGCCTAATGGCCTCATTTTATATTAATTACCTCTTTAAATATCTCTAAACACAGTCACATTCTGAGCACTGGGGATAGGGTTTCAGCATATAAATTTTGGGAGGATTGACAACAGAATTCAGCCCATAACGCCCCCTCTAGTAGTGTTTTACCTTCCTTTTTCCATTTGCCTTAGTTAGTCTAAGCCTATGGTGCTGTGAGCCTGTGATATGGGAAAACCTGATTACTCCTCCATGTAGTAACCTCAATGGGAATGGCACCAGGCAAGCAGGTGGCACCATGCCGCAGCGTCATTGGGGGCCCAGGATCATGCTAAGTCATTCCATCAACACCATCTTCTGGGTAGTCACAGCTGGGTCCCTGCTGGCAAGAAGAAGAAAGAGACTGTGGAGGATCCATGCCCAATGTCCAAACCCCAGGCTGTCATTGTACATCCCATTGCCCCTAGGCTGGCATCACCACTGCTCACATCCTACTGGGAGAACTCAGTCACATCTAAGTGCAAGGGACACTGGGGAGTGCAGTGCACTTGGGGGCCCAGGAAGAAGGGAAGAGTGAATGCGCCACATACAGCAGTCTTTGGCACATCCCGCATTTTCCTCTCTTCCCCAGCCCACTTAGGAATCTCCCCACTGCTCCTTGTATTTTTAAACTTTCTGTCTGTTATTTTCAGCAGCTGGGTGACTTTTCACCTTCCTTGCTTCCTGCCTTCATTCATTCAACACAGTGTTTCAATGCCTAAAGCCAGGTGATGGGGACACAGAGGCGACATAACACAGCGAGGCATGGGCATGACAATGGGCCCTTTGGCCACTGACCCGTATTGGACAAATGCACGCATTTCCTGGGAATATTTGCAAAACACAGCATTGGGGACTCAGAATTCTCTCAAGGCTGTCTCCACCCCCATCAGCTACGGTCTGGCTTCTCTGCACTGAGGAATTGAGGGGCACAGTTTCCCACTTAAATGTCATAACTGAAGCGATGCCACCCTGGACTGGCCCCAAATTCTCTTCTTCCTCTGAATCTGGCTTTGGACAGACACAAGGAGCTGGCGTGGGAGTGACCTGGGGTCTGCTAACTCAGAGGTTTCTTTCTTTTGACCAAAGGAACGCAATGTCCCTGAGCACCTCAGCACAGTTCCCTTACCGTCCACTCAGGCAAGGAGATGGGGGCTCTGAGGCTCAGAACCTGGCACACAGACTCGAAAGGGGATGCAGCCTGCCATGTGTCCCTCCCGCTGCAGGCACCCACCCTTTTCCTGCATCAACCATGCCACATGGGGCCGGGCACAGTGGCTCACATCTATAATCCCAGCACTTTGGGAGGCTGAGGCAGGTGGATCACTTGAGGTCAGGAGTTTGAGACCAGCCTGGCCAACATGGTGAAACCCATCTCTACTAAAAATACAAAAATTAGCTAGGCATGGTGGTGAGCACCCATAATCCCAGTTACTCGGGAGGCTGAGGCAGGAGAATTGCTTGAGCCCGGGAGGCAGAGGTTGCAGTGAGCCAAGATCAAGCCACTGTACTCCAGCCCAGGCAACAGAGCAAGATTCCCTCTCAAAACAAAACAAAACAAAAAACACCACGTGGAAAGTCACCTGTCCATGTATCTGCCCCACTGATGAACTGAGTACTCCATGAGGCCAGAGCTGCCTCTGTCCACCTCTGGGTCCCCAGCTCCTCACCCACCAGAGCAGGGGCTTCACTGTTGAATGACTGAAGGAATCAAGGAGATGGTGGATGAATGAAAAACAAGCTAGTAGACCTTTTTTTGTTAACACTTGCATTGGCGGGTGTAATTCACATACCACACTACGCATCCATTTAAAGTGCATGGTTCTGCAGGGCACGGTGGCTCACGCCTGTAATCCCAGCACTTTGGGAGGCCAAGACAGGCAGATCACCTGAGGTCAGCAGTTCGAGACCAGTCTGGCCAACATGGTGAAATCCCATCTCTACTAAAAATACAAAAATTAGCTGGGCATGGTGGTGTGTGCCTGTAAACCCAGCTACTCAGGAGGCTGAGGCAGGAGAATTGCTTGAACCTGGGAGACGGAGGTTGCAGTGAGCCGAGATCGCACCACTGCACTCCAGCCTGGGCGACAGAGTGAGACTCCGTCTCAAAAAAAAAAAAAAAAAGCCTCATTGGAGAGAACTGGAAGCTTGCTGGTCATGATGTCAGGGAGACCAGGAAAGGATTCTGGCTGAAGGCATCTGGGCACGGTGGCAGGAACCACAGTACATCCACCTTCTGCCCCTTCCGCCTCTGACTGATGGGACATCACACCCCAGATGTGGCTCTAACTTCCCAAAGCTCTAAGCAATGTCCACTCCCTTCTTTTTGGAATTCCTGGAATGATCCTTTTTTGCCCAACCCATGGCTTCTATGATTTGAACTGGATTTGGTGAGTGGATGACCTGGACGGGCTCTTCGAGGAGAAGGGAAACAGGAAGGGAGAGGGGATATCTGTGATTCAGGCTCACTGCAGCCACCAGCTGGCCCCAGACTTTGGACAAGTTTCGTAGGCATCAGCCTTCCCAGGAAGGAAGAGGAATTCATGTTGGTGCCAGCATTCTGTATGTTTTCTCATTTGATCTTCACAGTAATTTGGCAAGGGAAGTATTACTCCCATTTTAAAGATAAGAAAATTGAGTCTCAGAGAGGCAAAGTGATTTGCCCAAGGTCAGGTCACACCACCAGCAAGTGGCTAAGCTCGATTCAGTTCCAGCTCTGTGTCCACCACTCCCGAGGGCTCTCTGTGCTCATCTGTAAAGTGAGGGGCAGATTCTTGAGGACCCTCTCCGCTCTGAGCTTGCAGGAAATGTGTCTGTGGGCCCCCCTGCTTCCAATGCGCATGCCCACCGGGAAGCCGGGCCGGGAGTGTCCTGCGCCCACCTCCGGATGGTTTCTCCTGCAGACGCTGCCTCCAAGCACGCAGCCCTGGGCTTCTTTGACTGCCTCCGAGCCGAAGTGGAGGAATACGACGTTGTCATCAGCACCGTGAGCCCGACTTTCGTCCGGTCGTACCACGTGTATCCAGAGCAAGGAAACTGGGAAGCCTCCATTTGGAAATGTGAGACTTCAGAGGGAAGCTGGGGCCCCTGGGGGCCTCGGGAACAGTCCAGTGTCACTGGGGGGTGAATGACCTTCAGATGGGTACTCCTGAATCATGAGTCTGAAGGTGGGAGTGGAAGAGGCTCAGCAACCCCCAACAGCAGGGCGGGGGCCGCAAACCTTTAGGCCTGAGGCACCCGGTAGGCAGAATCCTCCCGGCAGCCTACGGCCCGTGCGCCCGCTGAGCTCAGCCACTCGGCTTCCTCTGCCACCTCGGCAAGCAACTGCCTGTCTCTGGACCTGTTTCCCAGATGTCATGGATTGAAGAACTTTCCTGCTCCCCCTTTCCCGTGCACAGAGTGGAGACCGAGAGTCGAAAGCCAGGCCACCTGGGCCCGGCGCAGTGGCTCACGCCTGTTAATCCCAGCCCTTTGGGAGGCTGAGGCGGGCCAGGACCACGGGGTCAGGAAATCGACACCATCCTGGCCAGCATGGTGAAACCCCGTCTCTACTAAAAATACATAACGTTAGCCGGGCATGGTGGTGCGTGCCTGTAGTCGCAGCTACTTGGGAGGTTGAGGCAGGAGAATCACTTGAACCCGGGAGGCGGAGCTTGCAGTGAGCCGATAACGCACCACTGCAGTCCAGCCTGGGCGACAGCGCGAGGCTCTGTCAAAAAAAAAAAGTCTGCACTGGAAGCCGGCCTCTGCCACATATTAGAGGGTTGGACGTGAGCAAGTCCCTTAATCACTTCGTGCCTCCCTAAGAGGTAGGTATTGCTATTATTATTTATTAGTATTATTATTTTCATTTTAGAAAATGACGGATAATAGCAATAGCAATACCTACCTCTTAGGGTTGTTGGGAGGACTGAAGGTTCTGGAATAGCAACCAGCCCCTCTATCTATCAGCGCACCTTATTACGGCCACTACTCTAGGATACTCTAAGGGTACAGGCGCTACACCTTGCCCAAGGCTTCCACCTTGAGGATCCAAGATGATCCAAGATAGGGGGCAGACCAGGGGTTCCAGGATGCTCCTGACACACACAGCTTCACGACCGTCACAAACAGCCCCTTAATCCACCTGGCACCTTCTTAGATCCTAACCTCTTTTGCATCCCTTCCCCCACACATAACCGCCCTGCGAAATTATCAGGGCAGGAAACCAGGTCCACCTTATAGACGAAGAGGCAGAAGGAAGCCCAGAGAGTGGAGTGTCTCCCGCTGGGCGCCGTGGCCCGCAGGTGACGGAGGGGGCCTAGAACCTGTGACTCTGGGGACAGCTCACGCTTCCCGCCCCTGAGCCTTTGTGCACGTGCAGGGCTCTGACCAGCTGGCTCCCCACTGAGGCCATAACCCCACCCCCAACGGGGGCCGTTCAGTCTTTTTCAGGAAGCTGACCTATGGCGTGCACCCCGTGGAGGTGGCGGAGGAGGTGATGCGCACCGTGCGGAGGAAGAAGCAAGAGGTGTTCATGGCCAACCCCATTCCCAAGGCTGCCGTGTACGTCCGCACCTTCTTCCCGGAGTTCTTTTTCGCCGTAGTGGCCTGTGGGGTGAAGGAGAAGCTCAATGTCCCGGAGGAGGGGTAACTGCAGCAGGCCAAATGGGCCACCCCTTGGAAATAAAGGTTTTTCTGGCAGGTGCTGGCGCTTCTGTCCTGTGCTCCGCACTGGGGGCTCCACACTGGGGGCCCTTGCAGCCCCACCCCTCATCTGTGTGGGGTCTCCCCTTGACAGTGAGGATGGCCTGGAGCCAGCCCAGAAGCTACGGAGCCTGGGGTTCTCCACGTTCCCAGGTCAGACTTCCAGAAGCTTCCCTGCTCTGTAGGGTGACGACTCAGCAGGAAACAGGAGCTGCACTGACTCTAACCCCCACATACACACACTCACATTGTATGCGTATGTGCTCAGGAACTCAGTCTGAAAACCACCTCCACTGTATACAAGGGTGACCTGGCCACTTCACCTCCACCCACGAGAGCAGGACTTGACGACCCTTTAGAACAGTGCTGCAAGGATGGAAATATTCTATGATCTGCGTTGTCCAACATGGCAGCACGGCCACATGTGGCTGCTGGGCACTAGAAACGTGGCCCTCTGTGTCTGAGACACTGAATTTGTAATGCTATTTAATTATAATTAATTTAAACTTGAATAGCCACGTGTGACTAGCAGCTCTAGAGTTAGGGGTGTGTGAGAATCAGCCCCTTCCAGACTGATTTCATTGGCCTCAGACCCCTCCCAACCCCATCCCCAGCTCTCCCCTGCACCCCCGCCCCCACCATCCCCACCCACGCAGCTAAGCTGGAATTTTAGCTTCCACATTGCTTCTAACAAATGCTGAGAACCTCTGCCCAGGTATCCACCTTATTTCAGCCTTTCCTTCAATTCTCAAAGCAAAAAGCATTTAAAACGCCATGCTCTCCTTGGAGGTGGGCACTTCGTGTAGTCTCCTTTTTCTTATACAAAACAGTAAATGAGGGCGGGAGCGGTGGCTCACGCCTGTAATCCCAGCACTTTGGGAGGCCGAGGTGAGTGGATCACCTGAGGTCAGGAGTTCGAGACCAGCCTGGCCAACATAGGGAAACCCCGTCTCTACTAAAAATACAAAAATTCCCCGAGTGTAGTGGCACGCACCTATAATCCCAGCTACTCAGGAGGCTGAGGCAGGAGAATCTCTTGAATCCAGGAGGTAGAGGTTGCAGTGAGCCAAGATCGTACCACTGCCCTCCAGCCTGGGCGACGGAGCGAGACTCCATCTCAAAAAAAGAAAAAACAAACCAACGAAAACCAGTAAATGAATCTTGGACCCTCGGAAAGCATAGGGTACCTTTTTGCACTAATATTGTAACGACTCAAGCTTTTCTAATATTTATAGATGAAAGAGGGCAAAAATTTCTTCCCTGAACCTAAATCATTTACAAAATGACATATATAGGGTACACATATGCACATCTGTAAATCCTGATTTAGAAAGCAAAATGTCCAGAATCACTGATCACCTGGAGCCCAGCCTACCCCAGGACCAGGCTGGTGGTCCCGTCCTGCGACCATGGAGGCATGATGTCAGGTCAGAACTTAGGGGGTCACCGAAGCAGGCAGGCAAGGCAGGTCTGGAGCCTGCAAGGGAACTGTCTTTTGAGAGGTTGTTGTTAGTGGGTGGAGGGTATATTGGGGTGCTCAGGACGAAGCCAATAGAGGGTGGGTAGGGGCTGCAATCGTGAGGAGAGAGGCCTGAAACTTACTTGGTGACCAGAGAGTAGGGATCCAGCTTTGGGACAGGAGCAGCTGAAGCCAGGGTCACAGCAGCCAATCCTGGGACACACCAAGGGTGGTATACCAGCAGAGCGTGGCCACGACCCAGATCCAGGCTGTAGGGTCCTTACCTGTTCCCTTTAGGGCTCTGCCTGGTCACAGGTGAGTTCCAGGCCGAGAACACCCCAAAGGGATGGAGGGGGAGCAGGAGGGGATTGTGTCGGGAATCGTCCACACTGGCACTGAAAGCCACGTTCTGGGAGAGTGAGGACTCTGAGGCAGGGTGACAGCAGACACCTGGGATTCCCCAAAAGAAGCCACGTGGAGCAACGGACCGCGAAGGACTCTCCGGTTTAAGTGGCTCTGCTCCACTGATCCCCTGCCAACTGGCACAGGGAGGTCAGAGACTTGCGGGTGGACCTGGCCCGTCTACCTGGTGGGCAGCCTAAGCGCCCTGCAGTTAAATTTCCTGTCCACGGGTTTTGGCCTCCCTCTGACTAAATGCTCCCTGGGGATTTCAGATGTCCCTGCGCCCACTCAGGCCCTGATGCACTCTCAGGATGGGGTAGCTCATTGGCCTATGAATGAAAATCCACAATCCTTATCTTGAAACATAGTGGGGGTAAAATAATTAATTAATTAATTAATTAAATGCCATGCAGTATGACAAATAGCCACCAGGTGGCACTGTGTCTCCAAACCAATTTTACAGCTCATCTCTCCAGGAAACCCTTCCACACAGCAGCAGTAACCCACCTAATTACGTTCACAGTTTCCAATGGGCCTCACCTTGCAAGATTCCATTAGGTCTTCCCATCAGCCTTAATTCATTGGAAGGGCTGACAGACCCATATCACAATGAGACAACTGAAGGTGATTATGTTCTATGAGACACAGCTGCTCTGCGCAGAACAAGGGCAGTTAGCTCCTGGGACCCAGGAGGAGTGGAACCCAGGCCCCAGTAACTGCCCCAGACCTTAAAGGGACTGTGCCAAGACACTGCAAGGTGTGAAGCAGTCCTCACAGTCCACATAGAGAGAAATACAGGTGGTTTTCTCCTCCCACCCCCAACCACCCATATCTACAAAATGTTTAACATTAGAAAATGTGGGTAACCTAAAGAAGCAGAGAGACAAAGCAATCAGTTGCCCTGACAGCCACTGTTCACAGCTGGGCTCTTCTCTGGGGAGACCACACGCAATCTTTTTTTTTTTTTTTTGGCTGCAGTGCAATGGCGAGATCTCAGCTCACCACAACCTCCGCCTCCCGGGTTAACCCCAGGGATTCTCCTGCCTCAGCCTCCTGAGTAGCTGGGATTACAGGCATACGCCACCACGCCTGGCTAATTTTTTTTTTTATTTTTTATTTTTTAGTAGAGACGGGGCTTCTCCATGTTGGTCAGGCTAGTCTCGAACTCCCAACCTCAGGTGATCTGCCCGCCTCAGCCTCCCAAAGTGCTGGGATTACAGGCATGAGCCACCACGCCTGGCCTTTTTTTTTTTTTTTTCCAGACAGAGTTTGGCTCTTGTTGCCCAGGCTGGAGTGCAGTGGTGTGATCTAGGCTCACTGCAACCTCCGCTTCCTGGGTTGAAGTGATTATCCTGCCTCAGCCTCCCAAGTAGCTGGGATTACAGGTGCCTGCAACGATACCCATTTAATTTTTTGTATTTAGTTGAGACAGAGTTTCACCATGTTGGCCAGGCTGGTCTCGAACTCCTGGCCTTGGGTTATCAACTCCCGCCTTGGCCTCCCAAAGTGCTGGGATTACAGGCGTGAACCACGGCCCCTGGCCCAAGACCAGAAACTTTACAGAGAGCACACTTCTTGGAGCCTCAGGGGCCACCCTAGGTGTGGCTGTAAGAAGACCACACAGATGAAGACACACAGCTGGGCATAACCACAACCAGCGCCTGGAACCATCTGTGCCCCTCCAGATGCTGTGAGCACTCCATCTCAGTGCTGGCACTTGTGGCCACTGCAATAGGTGCCCTTGTCTGTTGGCTAATGACCGGGCTCAGCCACTGGGGCCTGGCTGGCAGGGAGAGACTGAGGTTGCAGTGGCAACCTGCCACTGAACCACTGGTTACCCTCAGGAGCCACTCCTGCCCTTTGCCTCTTAGGGCCTAGGGGCATTCATGGGTCCTGGCTGCTGCTGGCCCTGGGTGCTTCTTTGTCCTTTCTTGGAATCCCTTAATCCTGACAAAATCTTTGCGATGCCCCTTCATTAAAGGATCCCTAATCACCTCGTGTTATAGGATGAATTCTGTCTCTCCTATAAAAAAATAGGATTTTCTAACCTCCAGTACCTTAGAATGTGACCTTATCTTTGTGAGGCTGAGGCGGGCGGATCACCTGAGGTCAGGAGTTTGAGACCAGCCTAGCCAACATGGTGAAACCCCATCTCTACAAAAAATTAGTAGAGCGTGGTGGAGGGCGCCTGTAATCCCAGCTACTCAAGAGGCTGAGGCATGAGTATTGCTTGAACCTGGGAAGCAGAGGTTGCAGTGAGCCAAGATCGCACCATTGCACTCCAGCCTAGTGACAGAGCAAGACTCTGCCTCAAAAAAAAAAAAAAAGGTTGGTGTTCCTTAAGTGTAGTAGTCGTTTCATAAGTAATCTTTTATTATTCTTTAAACCATTTGCATGCATGATTTACACTTTCATATTTATGACATCTTTATAATTTCCTAGGGTCTCCATCAGGTCTGCCTCATCCTATGTATCTTCAGTAAGGACATGCTCATTTTAGATAATGATATACTTCAAGGGGTTACCTAAGGAATAACCTGGGGTGTGCCTGAATATCCTCCACCTTTGCTCTGTCTACAATGTAGACCCTGTAGTCATGCCAGGCCAGCTACGTGTGCTTGTTCAACTGAGAACGTTCCAAATGCTTTGAAAGAAAGCTGTTCAAAAACTTGATTTGGCTAAAAATTTGCACTAACCTCTAGCCACTAAAAGGGCCATACCTCCCTACAGGCTCTAGAACCTTCTTTCAGATCAGCCACAAAATTTCACCCTTCTTCCCTTCAAAGTCGGCTCTTCACCCACCAGTTCTATCTACTAAGTCCTTCCTGCTTCTCTGAACTCCCCAGAGACTCAACATGTTCCCGGAAATTTAAACTGAAGGCCAGTAAGGCAAAATCTAGTGTATCACATCCTAAGTGCACACTTGTGTATCACATCCTAAGTGCACACGGACTGTTTCAAGGGCTTGATCTGTACTTGGAGGAAAATGCTGAAAGGGCAAGTTAAGGCTCGGAGGAGTGAACAGTGGAACCTGGCAAAGTGCTGTGAAATGGGAAGTGAAGGGCAGGGTGGTCTGTGCCGACGTCCCCACTGGCCTCTCCTCGGTCAGAACGCCTGCCGCCATGCTTCCACAACA